CATAGCTTGTGCTTTGATATTCAAATAGTAATAAGTTAACACAGTTAATACGTTTTTAATTCATCAATTGAAACCAAAAAAGCGATTTGTCTCGAACAATATTACATTAATGAAAACACGATTTCAGAATTTTTCTATTTCATTATATCTGGCAATTTTTTGAAGTGCATTTTTATACATAATGTGACTTTTTGCTTTGAGATATGTTAACTGAAAAGTTAGTGTGGATGCCTTCAGTTTGCGATAATTCAAATTGTTACTTGCAAAATTGTGTCTATTTGTATTTGGTGCCACTTTTGCTGAATCGTATTTGCAGTTTTTGTTTGTCGATTTTTAAGCTTGCGTGGCTGACTGGATAGGGCGTGAGACGCAAAATCTTTTGATTGCATTAGGTCGCAGATTCGAATTCTACACTTAGCCGAGATTTTGCTAATTTGAGGCTTATTTCTATTTTTTCTTATTTCAATTGATAGAGCTGCTTTTTGGTGTGTTCTCGCAAAACGGAGCTTCGCCTCTGTGTTCAATTTTTAAACAGCGCCTGAAAAACCTGTGAGTTTTGTTTTGATTTTTCAGCTTTTCGGTTTTTCTCACACTGTTCATCAGAAAATTCATTAGTTACGACCTTGATTTTTCTCGCTATGAAATCTAGCGAGAACACACTAGGTGAAAGTTGACACCCGTGTTTGCAAGGTATTAGTAACTCATAACGTGGGTAACGTACTGTACTAGTACTTGTACTAGTACCAAATGTACTAGTACCGCTATCATGCCAACGCTACCTGGAAATGCAATTGTTTCTGAAAATCAACAAAAAATACTGGGAAAAAAACTCGTGTCCAAAAATGTTAACGAAGAGTGAAGCTTCGTGCTTGCAATCAATTGCAATTTAATTTCGGGTTGTGCCAATTAATTGATAATTGATTTTTAACATTTCAATTAATTGCAAAAGCAGGATGAAAAACGATGTTAACGCCGATCGAGGATTTTCTTCAAGGGGTTTCGAATTTTTCTAATTCTGGCAAATCGATTATCCGAGTTTCTCCTTAAACGAGGGCTCATAATGTCAAAATGACCCTATTTTGACGAGTTTTTTTCGCTGATAGGTAAACTTTTGAATCAACAGACAAAAGCGATGTTTTCAGGCACTATTTGAAGGTTTTGACATATAAATGTTCGCGTTACCCAAAATTAGTACGTACCGGCGTCATCGAAAAAGTTTAGGGTCATGTAAGTCTTGAAAGTTGTAAGCTAGGAACTTTTCCTACATATTTTTCACAAGTTTTCTTATAATCAGTTTAAAAATTCTCCACTGTCGCAGAAAACACTAACGGTGACTCGTTGACCACACGACTCGTATCGCCACATGAGTTTACTGAAAAACTCACTAACTTAAAGTAAGTTTTTTTGCTGATAACTAGAAATTCCGTCGATATGTACCTGAACCCCTTATACAACACTTCCGCAGCTATATGACGTGATTAGTCCAAGTTGGTGTTTTATTGTCTCCAAAATAATTCAGATCTGTAATTACGCGTAATCAGGAGGTTCATTGAAAAAAATTTACATGAAAAAAAATTTCGAAAATTGATTTTTATCTGTTATTACGGTACAGAAACACAAATGTTTTTAGCAATTTTTTTTTGAATTTCTTTTTTTTTGAAAAAGTTCCAAGATAAGGGAACTTTTGTAGGATGGTGAGCCCGGGTGGAGAAAAAAGTCAGTTTGAGGCCCAATTAAGTGAAAATGTTTCGTTTACCAGTTGTATAATAATACCGTTTATTTCCTATTAACATTGGTCAAATTTGAAAATAAAAATTTTCATTTTTATTTTTCATCATTTAGGGGTTGTATAGCCAAATAGACTCAAATTTAGTATCGGACAGCGAAAATGGATGTAAATTAGTTCTAAATGGGGACCGTTTGGGTGGTAAGAGTGTCGAGCCACTGTGGGGGGAGGGAGGTAGGCTTAGAAAAGGCGACCACACTTTGCCTCTTTCTAAACCTGATATTGGTTAAGTGTCGTTAACGTAGTGAATCTTCTTTGATAGGTCTAAGTGATTTTGTTTGTTTATTTTTTGAAGGAAAAGTCGTAAAATTTATTCACGTTAACTTTTGATTTTTCGGGGTTTGACTTTTGATTTTTTTAAGTTCATTTCATTTCCGTTGTTCAAAGGAGAGCAAAATCCGCTATCGAACAGAAAAAGTGAAAAGGTCACGAATAACGTGATCGACTTCGAGTTTGGAACGTGGTTTTTATTTTTCAGATTTCCCAGCGAAATAAAAAGTTAACATATTGATACAGTTTTTGTTTTCAAATTGCTTCAATTTTATCAAAAAAAGTCAATCTTAAATTGTTCTCGTAATTCAAAGAACCCTAAGGCCATATTTTCTTTTCTTTGAATTTCAATAGTTGAAGTTTTCAAAAAACAAATATTTTTTTCTTGTTTTTTTTTTGCGTTATGACTCTTTTTCAACTATCTGTTGGCTCAGTTTGTCATAATGCAACGACATTTGGCATGGTGAAACAAAGTAATAATTTTGAAGAGTTTGTTCTTATACTTGACATCGTAAAAGTTTCATACTCTACATCGAGTTTGGAATTGATCTTTTGAAGGGGCGTTTTCTGTTAGTATACGGATCAGCATTAATTTAGAGTAATTAACGTAGTGAGTACTCTTATATAGGTCTTGTTTTTTTTTGGAAAAATTTGTTCACGCCAACTGATTTTTAATGTGAAGCTTACAAAAAAGGCGAGCGATTTCTAATTTCGAATTGTATTTAATTATCAAATTTCCTAGTGAAATAAAAAAAAGTTTACCTATTGATCCAGTTTTCTAAATTTGGGTTAATTTTTATCCAAAAAGCGCCAATTATGATTGTTCTTGAAATTTAAAGAACTTTAAGGGCTTATATTTTTCTGGCTGTAACCTATTGATCCACTTTCCTAAATTTGGGTTAATGTGCGCTATCTGCCAGTTTTTTCGACACGACTAGCGTGAGCAGCAAGTTAGATCGCTACAAATTGAATTGAGGCAGCTCAGTTGTTCCAAAATTTTTTGTTAATAGTTATTGCGTGTGGGATAAGGTTTAACAATATAACAAACTGTTTGAAAGCTTTCATCATTTTTTGAAAAATTGTTTTTTGCGCCAATTTTCCACTTTTTTCGAATGTGCATTTACGTCTTAGATCTCTCAGTGTCATTAAATCTTGTTTCAGATTCATGAACATAGTGAATACTATAGGTTTTGGTGATTTTTGTTGGTCGCGGAATAAAACTTTACCTATTGATCCAGTTTTCTCAAATGAAGTAATTGATCAAAACAGTGACAATCATCATTTGTTTTGAAAATCAAAGCGTTTTAAGCCTTATTTTTTTACTTTGAATTTGTAAAGACGTTTTTTTTCGATTTTTTGGTTTTAAAAATGACTTGTTTTTTGAAAGCATAGCCAGAAGACAGTTGGAAAAGATTCATGAACGCGTCTCTTGGCAATGTTTTCAATAACAAGTCAGTCATTTTTAAGTTTTCCTGTGTGAATTGCTACTTTTCAACTGGATGTTTGCTCTGCTTGAGAATGGAAGCAAAACTCAGATTAAATAAGTGGAAGCCTAATTTATTATTAATTTTCTTTGTTTTTTTTTGTTCACGCTCAGTTTTTACGCGTGGAAAGAAAACTATGCTCTCTGGTAACTAAAGTGGAAATTCCGCCAAGAAACGTGAAGGACTTAAATTTTGAAAGTGGGTTTTATTTTCAAGTTTTCCAGCCGAATAAAAAATTAACCTATTGATCCAATTCAGATTTAGCCAATTTGGTTTATTTTATGAAAAAAGTGCCGATCATACAAGATTATGTTAATTCAAAGAACTTTAACGTGATTTAATTTTGTTTGCAATTTTTTTGGCTTCTTTGGAATTTTTTTCTGGAGTTCACTGGCACTTTTTCATCTGTATGTTGGCTATGTTCTATGATTGATCAAAATTTCTAAAATGTTTTTTAATCAAAAAAGTGTCAATCCTAAAAGTTTCTGGAAATTCGAATAATGTTTGAATTTCAATTAGTTTTTGAAATCCATTGAGTCACTTCGCTACTGCGACAAGATCAAAAACGTATCTATAAACGAATTGTTATTTTGTTTTAAAAGATGCTAAAGACAACAATTTTTTACGGTTATTTTAATGGTTGGTAAACTACGTATGCATAAAGGAATTTTTATTTTGTTTTAGAAAATGCTAAAGACAACAATTGTTTGCGGTTATCTTAATGGTGGGGAAACACTTGGCACTCGTATACTATATTTTGAGAAAAAACTTCCAATACGGAAGGTTTTTCATTTTTCAACGACTAGCTTGACACACAAACAATGTGTCATTTTGGCGTTTCATGAGAACCCAGAAACATGTTGAGTCGAGTTCAAAAAATTGAACGATGAAAGCGTTAAGTTATCGCACAATTCCACTGAATGAATTTTGATTTGGAAATCCAATATTCTAATTAAACTTCCTAGTTTAACAAGCGAGCTTGCAAGCGTTGTGTTTGACAATAAGCCATTTCTGTCCAACAAAACTCGGGCATTATAGTGCAAACTTTATGCGTACTCTTTCGCATAGTATTGCACTTTCTATGCTGCCTGATGTATTAAGTATGCGCAGGCGTAAGCCGAGGCGCGGTTTTTTCCATTAAAATTTTGAAAATTCAAGTGATTTTCTCCTATATAGATCGTGGTTTTAATTGTTTTTTTTTGCTGGAAAAGTCAAAAAATTTTGTTCACACTCAAATTTGATTTTTCGAGGTTTGACTTCTGCTTTTTCGAAGTTCAGTTCATTTCTTTTGTTAGGAGGAAATCGTTTCAACTATCGAACAGTAAAAGTGTGAAGGTCATGAAAAACGTTCATGAGGATATTTAGTGGGCGAGGTAGAGATATTGGGGCAAAATGTAATATGAGATGTGAAATGTGAGCAGATCAATCAATCATTATAACATCTATTTCTCTGCCACCAGGTGCGCATCATGTTCGAAGTGCAAGATCTGAAACACGCCACCCTGGCCACAGTGTCCAGATGTGGTATGATCTGGTTCAGTGAGGAGGTCATGACAGTGGACATGGTTTACCACAACTTCCTCCAGAGACTCAGAAATGTATCGGTGGAGCCGGATGACGAGCAGGCAGTTGCCGGAGGAGGGGGAGGGGCATTGCAAGGGGCGCAGATGGGAGATAAAGACAAAGATGCGCAGGATAAAGAGTTGTCACCATCTATGCAGGTCAGGCAAAATTTGATGTTTCAGTAGCTAAAAGATACAAGCTTTTGAGAATTTTTGCTTCTTTAAATTTTTCGTTCATTAATTTAAAACTACTCTATAAAAGGTCTGAACTCGATTTTATTTAGCAATTTCTGCTTTCTAGCGTAATTCCCGACCTTGCTAATCTAGAAGTAATCGCCTTTTTATTTGCAGCTAGACTTAAAAAATTGTTTGTTAGTAATATTACCAACACAATCGAATATCGTTTTTCATACAAAAACAGTCATTGCTCGGTGCAGTATTTTGAATTTAAAAACGCGTGTTGAATAAATAAATCACTGGCTTTTAACTACACGCATATTAGAATACTTTGAAAAATATTGTAAATCTGAATCTCACACGACGATGATCAACGTTCGCAATTTGAAATTACGCGTTGAAGCGGACGACTATCTTGGGTTCAAGAAGAAACTAAAACTGCAAGGAAAAGAACTGAACCCAATGCCACCAGAGCTATTCCACCTAACTGACCTCGAAGTTTTGGAGGCAAGTCCAGAGCGGGAATCGTGCCTTGACTTCTCCCTACGAGACCTCCCAAGAGACATCGGACGTTTGACGAACTTGAGGATTCTCATCCTTGATACAGGAAGTTTGACAATGCTTCCGGCTGAAATCGGATACTTAATATACCTGGAGAGATTGTATCTATCGAACAACGATTTGAGAAACCTGCCTCCAGAGTTTAGTAAGCTTGAGAATATAAGGAGTCTCCATTTGGCCAACAATGAGTTCAGAGATTTCCCGCTTGAGATCTGCTGTTTGGAGAACCTCGAGTTTTTGGACATGACGGATAATAAGATCAAGGCCATTCCTCAGGAGATCCAATTGCTGACCAAGATGACATCATTCTTGTTCTACTGCAACAAACTGAGAAAGGTAACTATTTTATGCTATTTTTTAGGATTTTCGGTTCAGTCTTGGAAATATATACTAAGTTTGTGGGGCAGCGTGCGACAAAAAAGAGAGTTTTGGTTCAAACTTTCCTATAAGTGCTCAATTTTTGTTTGGGTTGACATGTTTTTTACCCTTGTAACAAGCAAGGGTATTGCAATCGGGTACTAAATTTTTTCCCGTAAATAACATTGTTCACAGAATGGTCTAAATTAGCAATGGTAAATTTAGGATCAGTTCATAATGAATTCAAATTTCTGTGTTTCCGGCACACTTGGCCTGGAGCTAACGAATACGCCTGGGAAGGCAAAGTTGGTGGGTTCGAATTTGACATGAAATGTTTTTTCTCAATGTTCCGCTTCAAAACTAGTGTTGGTTTATGAATTGTCTGCGTGTTTTGTCGGCTTAGTTGTCACATCGTAGAATTGTTTTTTTTTATATACGAAATTCATATTGTAGTTTAATTTGTTTAATTTTATTTACTTCTGCTGTTTGTAATTTTAACAAGGATAGCCTCTTACTGTGCAAGTAGCACAGAATGTTCCGACCACAATCTTGAAAAAAAATACAAAAAATGGTTTTTCAAATTGATGTCTTGATAAAAAGATCCGAACGAAAAAATATTGCTTAAATATATTTGAGAGTCATAGTAAAATAGGTCAAATGGAAAACAATTTTGACAAAAATGACCAGAAACCAAAAAAAAAAATCAAAAGTTTTTTTGTTTTTTATTCCCAAAGTTGCGCTATAATTTCCAAAAAGTACCTTTACTTGAGTAAAACTAAGTTTTCACGCTTTTTAAGTTCTTTGTTTCTTAGATTTCAAGAGGGTAAAAATATCTCGTGGTTTTCTAATTTTTATACTCTTCAAAATTTTCTGTTTGATTAGAAATTTTTTTAAATTCAAGTTCTCTTTTCGGTGCAAGGTTTCTGATTTATTTTCTTAATATTAAAGTAAGTGGAATTAGATTTCCTTTAAATGTATTAGTGTGCTATTGGATTGAGGAATTTTTTTTTGAAATCGATTCAAGTCGATGGCATAGCGTATTGTTTTCAAATATTGTTTTCAATCGTCATTTTTTTCGATTTTTTTTTGCATTTATGACTTGACTGTTTTTTCTATAAAGATATGTGGCAATAGTGACATGAGATTCAGGAGTGGGTTTTTTTTCTGCATGAGTTTTCTGCTCTATGCTTTCGATGTTATTTAAGGGTTTTTGTTTTTTAATGTTATCTTTATTTTTTTGTTGTGATTTAGCTCTCTTAACGTTGCTTATCAAGTTCATATTTCATAAGTTTGGCGTATTTGGGTTGTTTTTCACTTGTGTTTAGAGTTTTTTGGAGATTTTATGCATGTCTTTTTATGAAAATTAATTGAAACTTTAGTATTTTTTGTGGTTCTTTTATCTTAAAAAAAAACCTTTTTTTTTTCTTAGATTTTAATGTCTTAGATTTTAGCAAAGGTTTTTTTGATGTTTTTATAGCCAATTGTTTATGCAGGTTGTTTTGTTGCAAGATTTCAAGCAATGTATTTGAGTACATTTAGGAAATTTTGAATCTCAGATTTTTTAGCAACCTTTTTTCTGGGCGTTTCCATCTATTGGTTATGAGAAAGAATTGATTGGAGCTTGTGCATTTCGAATATTTCTTATGTAATTGAATTTTATAACAACTACAACAAAATTTTTCTTGATTTCTCTAGTCTACGATTTTTTCAACAGAATTCATTTATTTTTTCTCTTTCCGTTTAAGTCGCATTATCTTTTCATTTTGGGCATTTTATTTTGTATCGCAAGTGGTGCGTAGCTCAGCTTCGCCTCTGTGTGCTTTTTAGTGTTGATGTTTAACCTCCACCTCCCTCGAGAACTAGATGAGTCCCTGTATTGAATACTAATTTATTCATTGCAAGCTGTGCAAAGGGTTCATTGATTTTAATTGAAGCACAATCACACTTAAGTGACAGTTTCTCCATTTTGGACAGCTGTCGTAAACTTCGAGGTCTAAGTTGTATGAATTGTTTGTGACCAGATAAACTCTCTTAATTAAATAGTGATTTAAGGTTCCGATGGGACTGTGCAAACTGAAGTTGCTCCGTACTCTGTGGCTGGGCAAGAACAAACTGCGTAAGCTGCCCCACTTCTTCGGCAGACTCAGCAACCTCGACTGGGGAGAGTTCTACAAGTCAGCCAATATTGACGAGAATCCCCTGATGCGGCCGCCAGTGGAAGTTGCGAGACAGGGACCGGCCGCGATCAGAAGGTTCTTCGATGACCGAGGAAAAGGTTATTACTGTTTACTTGCAAAGGCTGCTTAAATTCTTGCTTACATTGCTATGAAACCTAATGAACAGTAGAGCTTATTAAGGTATTGACGAAAGATTTTCATGAGAAATACGCATTGGTACAAAACTATTCAATTTAATACAGATTTTATTTGAATGAAATAGGTTTTAGTAAATGTGAAAGTTGTTTTCGTTGTTGTTTTGTAAATATTTTTAATTAGGCTGGGATGGAGTGAACGAAAGTGAAGATGAAGACGAGTGGGTGCCCCTGTCAGACTCAGATGACGATGATAACGGAGGCGTATCAAACTTCTTCTAATGACTGAAAGTTCTCGAGAACAGTTAAAATTGAATCGAGTCGAAAGGAAGCAGCTATCTCAATCGAAAAATTATCGTAGCAATTTGGGTCGAAACAGAAACATTTATGGAATCGTTTGAAAGTGTTGTATTGCTTGTCGAAGCAAAAGTTAATTTGTAACTGGGTTATCTGCTATTATGTTGTTCTAGTTGATTTAGAAAAAGAATTGTAGTGTATATTAAAATAAAATGTGAAATCTTTGCATGCAATGAAAATTCTTCCAATTCAAAATTGGTCTTTTTCTAAGGGACGTTTTCTGCCACAGATTTATTGATTTGATTGCCTCATTTTACAATGATTCATTCTTACACAAGCGAAGCGTTGTGTACTTTTACGGAGATTGATTTTTTCTAACCTAAGTTGCAAGCAAAAGTGCTCATTTGGTGGCACTTTTGGTGAATTTCACTTTAATCATATTTTAGCTAATTTAAGCATAAACAATTTCATGGCAAATGTTGCTGCTTTGGTTTTGGCTAAGGTTACGTCCTGTTTGAAAAAAAATGTTTTATGAAAATGTATGGGATTTGTTGTTACCCTTGCGACATAAGTTCATAACCATTTCAAGTAAGTTCGTAACCAATTCATAAGTTCATAACCAATTCTGGGAAGGCAAACTTGCTGGTTTCGAATCTGACCAGAACCTGTTTTTTTTTTTCAAATGGTAAAACTTCCGGTTCTAAAAAATTTCGGCCTGTTGTTTGTCTGCTTGTTTTGTCAGCTTAGTTTTGTCAAGATCTAAGAAGATCTTGCTTGTTTTGTCAAGTTCTAAGAATCGTTTTTTTGGTGCTAACAAAATTCAATGTAGTTGCTTATTGTCTTAGGATTTTAAAGACGTGGACCAATCGAAATTTGCATTTTTTGCGTTTTTACATAGGTTGTAATTTTAACAAATTGATTTGTTAAAATTTTTGTTTTCTCAATCGTTTTGTCTGCTTTTTTCGACTTAGTCGGTTTCGGCTTACTTTATGTCTACTAAGTGGGCCCTTATTGCATATTTTGGTTGTCATCAAAAGTTTTGTTTGCGTGTGTGTTCTGAGGGGAAGGGGGACTCATAGTTTTTTATTATGATTTAAAAAAAAAATTTTTCGCCATAAAGGGCTACTGCCGAGGTTTTTTCTGTTTTGTTGCTGCTTGGTTAGTTTTGTTCGGATGATATTTTTGCATTCTAATTTTTTGGCATGTTTTTTTTCAAAACTATCATTCAGTTTGATAGACTGGTTGTATGTATAGTTATAAAACATCGGTTTTATTTCTTGCTGATGATTTTTCGTTTTCTGATTGAGCACTAGGTTTAGCTTCCGAAGTGTGTATACCACCTTAAGTTAAGCACATATATGGCTTTCGTAGATATTATTTGGGCAGTATTTGTATATTTTCCAATAAAATTTTGCCGAATAATTTTGGTTTAAGGTTCAGCTATTTGGCTGTCGGTTTTAATTCTGTCGGCTTATTTACCTAATATTTTGTTTCCTACGAATTTTTAATATTATTGATGAGATCGTTAAGACTTTGGCCTCAAATATAAATTTTCGAATGCTCGAGTTCAAACCAACTTGGAACTTTTTTAAAAAATTAATACGTTTAAACATAAAAGATTGATTTTAATTTTTTTTGTTTCTAGCTGTTCCTCTACACTTCAAATTTTCGAAGTGCTTTTTGATAACTATTGAGTGTCTTGCTGTTTTTTGGTCGAAATTTTGCTGCATAACATTGGCAATTTGATAGAAACTGTAGCTGCTTTTTGGTGGCTGGTGTTAGTAAAGTTACAAGTGGTCGTGAGGCAGATGTGAGAACGTGATACTCCTAGTTTCTACAAAATTTATTATAAATTTTAGCTGATAATTTTGTTATTTTATCATATATTTTTTATGAATATAGCTTATTGAGCTTGTTGCATTATTCGCTCCAAATTGAGCTAAAACACACATTCGGTAAATTTTTAATTTGTTCTTGGGTTGCGACTGAAACGGCTAAAATATGATTACGCGATTAGCAAGCGTTATGAAATCTGAATCTATCTATATCTATCTATCTATCTATCTAATCTATCTAACTATATTTAAATGCTAGTGACAGCTATCTCCCATGTTTAAGCATAGTAATTTTGCATGTTTAACGAAAGAATTTTTTCATGTTTAAGCTATATCATATATTGCAATGCTTAAGAAATTTTTTAAATTAGTTTTTCGCAAGGTCATTAATTTTTCAGTATTTTTTTCGAGGCCAAATTAAGTCTGTCTGTCTGTATACATGCTTTTTAAACTAATTTGATTATGTCTGTCTACCCGTCGCCTAATTTTTTAACTTTCATCTCTTATCTATCTATTAAATATTTAAATGCGGGCTTCACTGTCTCGCCATGTTTAAACGTATTATCTATCTATTAAATATTTAAATGCGGGCTTCATTATCTCGCCATGTTATGTTTAAACGTATTATTTTTTCAAGTTTCAGCTATATCGTATATTGCAACGGTTAAAGTTTTTTTTTCTATTTTCCAGTTTAAATTTAGTGTTTATTCCATCAAGTTTGAATTAAGCAACCCAATGGTAAGATATTGTCAGAGTTTTCCCAGATTTTGCGATTCTGGCCTCCATATATGAATAACCAAATCTTTTTAGTTTACGAGATAGGCAATTTTCGAGGTTTTTCAAAAAATTTCTGGAAAATTTAAATTTAAAAATGTTCTCAATTTTTGAAATTCTCGCCCTGTAGTTGGGGTACTCTCAGGGGTTGCGAATCTTGCCTCCAATTCCTTGTAGTTTTCGAGATATGACGTTTTTTTATGATTTTTTCAAAAAATTTTCAAAAACTTAGAATTTAAAAAATTCCAAAACGTGAAGATCTCATTCCTGTTATTGGATATTGTGAGGGTACTCTCAGAGGTTGCGAATCTTGCCTTTGATCATGGCAGCTCAAATCCGTGTAGTTTTCGAGATGACATATCTTTGGATTTTTTCAATATTTTTCAGAAAACTTAGATATAAAAAATTTAACAAAACTTGAAATTACCATCTATGTAGTGAGGCTTTGTCAGGGTACTCTCAGGAGTTGCGAATTTCGCCGCCAAATATGACTACTCAAATTTTTGTAGTTTTCGAGATAAGATGTTTTTTATGATTTTCTCCGAAATTTTCAAAAAAACTTAAATGTTAAAAAAATCCAAAACTTTGAAGTTATCAATCCTGTTATTGGAATATTCGCTGTACTCTCAGGGGGTTGTGAATGTTGCCTCTGAATAGGACTGCTCAAAATCTTGCAGTTTTCCAGATATGACGTTTTTTGTGATTTTTTCAAAAAATCTTCATGAAAATTTAATTAATTTTTTTTCAATGTTTGAAATTCCTAACCTGTAGTTGGGGGCTGTCAGAGTAATCTAAGGGGTTGCAAATTTGGCCTCCAATTACGAAGGCCCGAATCATTTTTCTTTAAGAGAAGACGATTTTTGTGACCACTTGAGAAGAAGAACTTTTATAAAACTTGACAAAATTTTATGGTTCTTCAAAATTTGTATAAAAACATGAATAAAAAACTTTGCACATTTTTTAATTACGAACCCTGAAATTGGGTGCTGTCAGAGTACACTCAAAGAAAATCTTAAAAGTTTGAAAGTTTCAATCTTAAATTTGAAGCACCGGAGGTGCGGTACACGCTAGTATAGACTTATTTTCGGGTTGACATTTAGCTCGTAAACCTTGCATTATCAATTCCAACGGTACAGCGGTACTTCAGGTGTTATAATCACTTTTTTCAACATGCTCAATTTCTTTGAAATTTTTATTTAAGTGCTGGCTACTAGGAACAACTGGTAAATGCTTTATCTAGGATTCCAACTATTGTATGTAGTTTTGTAGAGGTTTGATAGAAGATTTTTTGCTGATTTTTTTGGCGAATTAACCTCTGTTGGCTTATTTTACGAAATATGTATACCACCTTGCATACATTACATATAAAGCACTGGTTGATTGTATACGGGCGGTACATGCATTTTTTAATGAGTTTTTGCCGAAAAATGTTGGTTGATTTTTATTCTATTGGCTGTCGGTTTTGATTCTGTCGGCTTATTTAGATTATTTCAAAAATCACTTCGGTTAATAAAATCAAAATCAGGGCGTCTATCCGCACATCGGCATAGAGGTAACACATGCTTGTAAAGGCAAAAGTCCGTGGTTCGAATGCAACCAGGGCCTATTTTTTGTAAACCAAAATTTACGGTTGACAATATCTTTGCCGAACTTTTTTGCCGGCTTAGTTGCCACATCGCCAATATTTTTTTGCATTTAGCATTTTACCTTTTCCAATATATTCCAGATTTGTGCAAGTAATTGCATGCACGGAAGTTTTGCTCCATTTTTTTTCAAAATTGGTCAAATTTTTTTCTTTATTTTGTAACTAATCAATAAAAAATTTCTGTCCTAAAATTTTTTGATTTTTTGAATCTATCTGATTGCGAAATTTTGAATAAATTTTTTATATGCCAGTACTACGGCGTAGAAAAAGATTCAGATTTTCCTACTTCAATTGTTTCATTTGCCTGGTTCGAGTGTATCAAGTGAGTTTTTCTCAAAATTTTGGGTAAGAGAAGGTTCAGTTTTTCCTCTTTCAAATGTTTCATTTGCCTGGTTTGAGTTTATCAAGTGACCTTTTCTGAATCCTTAATTTAAGGTAAGCGAAGTGACTCATTCATTTAAGGTAAGCGAAGTGTACCTGATTTTGAGTGGAACAACTGTTAGGAAAATACCCGAAGTTAAGCTCACTTTCAGTGGTCAAAAATTGATTTTCACTTTTTTTACACATGCGAGATTACCAAACGTTATCAAATCTCAATATAGGTTTTTTCAGGTTGACCACTAGCTTAACGAAATCACTTGAATCACTCGGGGCAGTAGTTGGCATATTTGTTCTGATAGAAGGTCTGATAGAGTTTTATTTTTAATCGCCGTTCCATTTTAATTGTTTTGTGAACTCACTGAGCGTACTGAAGACATAGATCGGTCGTGATGAATTTTTTGCTTTTCTTCTGCGATTTGGTTTTGATTTTTATTCAAATAATTTTGCTGAAAGGAATTCAGTTTTTGCTCTCCAATTGAGAAAGAGGAAATGACCCAAAATGTAATCAGCTTATAGCTTCGAAAAAGGATTAAAAATTTTTTCAGCGGGTTACAAAAAATACCTGATAGTCTAATTTTCTGCAATTTCTGAAGTTCGAAAGTTGCAACAAATTTAATTTTTTTTTTTGGTTTTACTTCTTTTGGCTCAACGGTCATTCGCCCAATACTTGTCTGCCTAGTTATCGCTTGATAAGTTTTGTTTTTCAATTGTCATATTTACTCTTGCGATCAGCTTAGTGTATTATTACGAACTTTTTTTTCTAACCTAACTGTTTAATAACAGTGCTCATTAAAAGTGTTCACTTATTTGGAAATTGCTTAGCATCTGTTCTCTGCTTTATTTGTGGCTAGTGTTTGGTGAAAAGTTGGTGTCCGGTGCTGAGTGGTTAGTGCGTGAGACTCTTAGTCGCTAGGTCGCAGGTTCGAATCTCAGATGTTGCAGAATTTTTTTACTAATTCGAGGCTTATTTCTATTTTTCTTAATGCACTTCATAGAGCTGCTTTTTGACGTGTTCTCGCACGTGTTTGCGAAGCAAAGCTTCGCCTCTGTGTTAATGCTGGCATTTAAGTTTATCAGCATTCTTTCTTCAAATTGAACGCATTGGAGACAAATTTTACAAGGATTTAAATATATCTTCGATTTTTTCGTTTTTTTTTGGCTAGCTGGCGTTCAATTTTTGTGCTTTATTGTAGTTGGTGGGAAGTGGAAAAAAGTTTTGTGCGAGGATTGACTTACAGTAAGCTAAAAAAAATCTAGCAATGGCTTTAGTAGTGTAAAAAGATGAAATATTAACAACTGTATCTGGCTTGAAATGGTTAAACTTGAGGAGTAGCTTCAGTTATATCTCTGAATTCTTCTAAAAACAATAGTTTCATAATGTCAAACAGATTTTTCTCAAAAATTTAATTTGGAAATGTCTTATATCGATCGAATCAAGGCTGAAAGGTCTTCAATATGATTCATTTGTTTTGCTACATTCAGCCTTTGAACCATTAATAGCTGTCGTTTTTGGAGATTTAAGACCACTTTAGTTGTACTACAACAAAAAAAAACTGGGCTCAACCTCTTCCCCTTCTGTTCTAAAAAAGATCTCCCTCCCCCAAGGACATTTATGTCATGAATTTGTCTCTCGTTAGTTCACACAAAACGCGGTGAAATCACTTAATAATGTCATGACTTGTTGCGAATCATGATATTATTAAGTGATTTCACCGCGTTTTGTGAGAATTAACGTGATGTTGAATTTGACATGACATGAATTTGCCTCACAAGTATTCATGGAGTTAATGAGCTCAATGGAATAGTTGCAGTTCAAGTAGTGTGAAAAAGATTTTACGATATTATACTTGTCAAATGCCAACCAATCAATCGCTGGACGTCTGAAAATATTCAGATAAATTTATCTCGGTACTGATAACGCTTTTTCGAAACTTTACGATGTGATTTGTCACTCGACTTCGTCTAAAATTGTTGTCTGTTTAGATCAAAAGCCGACTAGTTTATCGAGTAATAATCAGTCTATTTTTCTGTTATAACTCTGTCTTACGCTAATTCTCTCTTCGTAGTGTTTCCTCTGAAAATGTAAATATTTGTGTTGTAGGCTAATAAACAGACTAGAAAAATGGCAATAAAGGTTAAAATCACAAATTAAATAATCGATGATCACAGTTCGCCCTTGCATTCACAAGTTATTTGCATAGCGTTGACACCATCGATCGATTCATGCAAAGCCTTGCTGAGAATTAGAAAATAAAAAACATGCATCACACGTTCAGTGACATCGAAACTGTTTTCACTTGCTTGAGAATTGACAAAAAATACTTGCTTTTATTGAAATTTGAAAACAATTTCAACTGTTTAGGTTCAAAATGACGTTGCAGCTGTACTTGAACCTCATTTCGCAGAAGGCGGCATTGTGTCCAGAGTCCTGGAACAGGCTGCATCCTTGGACCACATCATGGAGTATACCAAACTACGGGTTCTCTCGACACTCTTCTCGATGTTGAATCAAATCGCGAGGAACATCATCAAGTATAACAGAGACCACGCCGACTTCCCATTGGCTAGGGAAAAAGTTGAGTCGTATTCTGGGAAAGCGTTGATCTATTCGTTGATTTTCGCTGCAGTTGGCGATGGAAAACTGAAGGCGAGAGAGCAGCTGGGAGCGTTCATTGCTCAGGCGACAACAATCCAACTGCCGACAATGCTGCCGAATCAGAGCATCATTGACTTCGAGGTGACTGAAAATATGTCAACCGTTATCTAAGTTCGAAATATCTCTTGAAAAAAAATCTGTTCATCGGAATCTAAATGTCTTTTGTTAGTAATCGAATTAAATTTTTCTCTTATGAGTACTACTCTTGGTGTTTTTGCAACAGCTTTCAAAAAAGTCAATGGTATAAGAAAGTAGTGGTTTGTTGTATTTAATTGTTTGTGCTAGAGAAATGATTTTGTCTATTTCAGGCAACAGTGGAGGGTGAATGGCAGCCGTGGTCCAACAAGGTGCCCCAGATAGAAGTGGAGACACATAAAGTGGGATCCCCAGATGTGGTGGTGCCTACATTGGACACAGTGAGACACGAGGCACTCTTGTACACTTGGTTGTCCGAACACAAACCACTAGTGCTGTGTGGACCACCAGGTGAGAAACAATCAATTTTCAAACTCAAAGTAGTTGGGCTTCAATAACTAGAATTTAACTGCAATTTTTTTGCGGTCTCGATTTACTGAAAAATTCTTGGCTATTTTACTGTTTCTCTCCCCCTATAAGTTTTGACTTCATAATATTTTCGACCAGCTGTCCAAGTATATGCATACGATTCTTCTCTCATTTTCCAGCATTTTTGGCTGAAAAAAGAATCTTGTAAAGCCACTAGTTACTCCGTCAAATGGACATTTTGTCTGACGATTTTCATGCAGGAAGCGAACCATGGGGTATCATGAAGTTGTTTTTGCGTGGACCAGTGGCTTGCGCAGAAATTTTTCTAGGGAGGCGGTTTTTCGAAAAAACTTTAAATTTTGCGGACCTTTTTTAGATCGACCAATTTGATTTTCCGAGTTCTCCGAAAATACTTTAAGGACCCTATTTTAACAAAAATGTTCTGAGTCGCAGGCAAATTTTTCAAGAAACGGGCCAAAAAGGCGTTGTTAGGCACTTTTTGGAAAATTTTGACCAAAAAATTGCATTTTTCGGCGCCATCTCCCAACTCAAAATTAGTTATTTTGGCGCCCTTAGAAAAATTTTAAGGTTGGTCAGCCAAAAATGGGTGTCGTAAAGTTATACCAAAGGGCGGACCCTTTGGAAAATTTTGCAACCAGAATTGAGAAGGGGTGGTCGCTCCCCACCTAGGAATCACTACTGGTGTGGACATATTTATATTAGTATGAATGAGAGAATCAAACTTGGTCTGATCGAATTTATTTTTGTTCAGGGTCGGGAAAAACAATGACTCTATTCTCTGCTCTACGAGCCCTGCCAGACATGGAAGTGATTGGATTGAATTTCTCAAGCGCCACGACACCAGAACTTTTAATCAAAACTCTAGACCAGTACTGTGAGTATCGAAAAACTCCAAATGGAACCGTAATCGCACCCATTGCTCTCGGTCAGTGGATTGTGCTGTTCTGCGACGAAATTAATTTGCCCGATCAGGATAAATATGAAACACAGCGAGTGATAACCTTCTTGAGACAAATTGTAGAACACGGAGGCTTCTACAGGATCTCAGATATGCAATGGGTCCAATGTCAAAGAATCCAAATTGTTGGAGCTTGTAACCCTCCGACAGACCCCGGACGAAAGCCGATATCTCCTCGATTTTTGCGTCATATACCGGTTGTGTATGTCGATTACCCCGGAGAAATGAGTTTGAAACAGATTTACGGGACTTTCAACCGAGCTATGTTGCGGTGTATATCATCTTTGAAGCCGTATCACGAACCCTTGACCAATGCGATGGTAGAATTCTTCTTGAAGACACAAGAGCGATTCACGGCTGATATGCAGCCCCATTATATTTACAGTCCGCGTGAAATGACGAGGTGGGTGAGAGGTATCTACGAGGCAATCAAACCTCTGGAAATGCTGCCGGTGGAAGGACTGGTCAGGATTTGGGCACATGAGGCCTACAGATTGTTCCGCGTGAGATTACTCTACCGTTTGAACCTATGAAAATTGTTAACTTTGAAAATGGCTCCATGAGACAGAAGTGGAAAGTTGAGCATCGTTAATTTAACGGAATATTTTATAGAAATCTGATAAGTTCATATGATAAACGCGATGCGTCATTTTTCGCATACGAGTTTAAACATCCATCGCTCTGACTAATTTATCATTAATTGTTGCATTCTATTTTAGGATCGCCTGATCGAGGACGAGGAGCGCCATTGGACAGATGAGCACGTGGAGAAGGTGGCACTGAGTCACTTCCCAGGCATAGACAGAGAGGAGGCACTAAAGGGACCCATCCTGTTCTCAAACTGGCTCTCCAAAGACTACATGCCAGTGGAACAGGAACAGCTCAGAGACTATGTCAAGGCCAGACTCAAGGTAACAGTTGTTACTAAAACAATGAGGCTATTCAAGGTCAGCTCATCGATAATTATGTGCATCGATAATTCAGTTCAAAATTTTTGGTAAAGAATTTCTTTGGAAGAAAATTTAAGAGGCATTGTTAGAAAAGACTTTCAAAACTGAAAAATCGTCCTTGATTTTTCCTAAAAGTCCCCGTAAGTTAACATCTTTGTACTGTCGTCTTTTCCATAAAATGATATTTTAAGGATCTTTTGCTCTCAGGTGTTCTACGAGGAAGAATTGGACGTGCAGTTGGTGCTGTTCAACGAAGTGCTTGACCATGTATTGAGAATAGACAGAGTGTTCAGACAGCCCCAAGGTCATCTGTTATTGATCGGGGTGTCAGGTGCAGGAAAGACTACTCTGTCTCGATTTGTGGCCTGGATGAACGGACTTACTGTCTATCAGATTAAGGTACATACTCTTACACTGCAGTGAGAATGTAGAAAAGATCGAAGTCACCAAAATGAAGCTGAAGTTGAGACATCAATTTTCAGCCCAGAAAGCATAATTTTTTTAAAATTTTACGGTTTTGCTTATTGGTCCGTACTTGTGAATAAGCGGTAGTTAAAGCTCAACTCAGAAGTATACGCTGGTTGGCCATTTGAGGTGATATAATAAATGGTTAATATAAATCTCGTTTCTATTAGTGCAACTAAAAAATGAATTGGTGAGCTAAACTATGGCTTAAAATTGTGGATAGTTAGTTTCAAGGGTGTTAGAGTGCGGTTTAAGTGGGCTTCACGAAACATTAAACGATGATTAGGTGCACCGCAAGTACACGGGAGATGATTTTGACGAAGACTTGCGAATAGTGCTGAGACGATCGGGATGCAAAGGAGAGAAGATCTGCTTCATCATGGACGAGGGCAACGTGTTAGACGCCAGTTTCCTGGAGAGAATGAACACTCTGTTGGCTAATGGAGAAGTGCCTGGTCTGTTCGAGGGAGACGAGTACACTACTCTGATGACACAGATCAAAGAGGGGGCGGTGAGAGAGGGATTGATGTTGGACTCGAACGAAGAGTTGTACAAGTGGTTCACGCATCAGGTTACTGTCACTGCTTTCTAATGATTTCTTCGTGCTACATAGCAATCGAAATCAATTATGGAGATAAAAATAAATAGAGGAAAGATGGTCGAATTCTTCCGTGTCAGCATGAAGAAGTTTTATCTAAACCATCTATGATCCTCTTTTTAGTTAACTTAAGTTAAATCTATTACAGAAATAGACATCTTTCAGCAAGTATTGAAAATGGAATTTGAAGTAGAAAACGTTTGATAGCTTGCATTTTTTTAGGTAATGAGAAACTTGCACGTGGTGTTCACGATGAATCCCTCTGCTGATGGGCTGAAAGACAGAGCCGCAACATCGCCTGCACTCTTCAACAGGTATATATTTGACAGTTTCAACAGATGAGATCGCCGGAGAGTTAAAATGATCAGTATTCTAGAGCGTTTGATTCCATCTAGTGCCTCCTGGTATTAGATTCATTTCTTGCCCTCAAATATGTAGGTTAAGCGAGTTGTCCAACATTTGCGCGTTGAAATGAACAGAATAATTATGTAATTTATGCCGTTATTCAGGTGCGTGCTCAACTGGTTCGGCGACTGGTCACTGTCGGCCTATTTCCAAGTGGGCAAAGAATTCACAATCAAGGTTGACATCGACAACAACCATTACACGGCGCCACAGTTCAACCCGCCCCTCGCCTTCGAAAGTATCCCGACACCACTGTCGTTCCACGGTGCAATTGTGAACACATTTGTATTCATTCACCAGTCACTGCATAAAGTGAGTGATAAGTTGATGAAGCGAGGAGGCCGTCCAGTGGTGGTGACTCCGAGACACTACCTGGACTTCATCAGTCACTATGTGAAGTTGTCGAGTGAGAAGAGGAATGACCTGGAGGAGCAGCAGCAGCACTTGAGTGTGGGTCTGCAGAAGATTAGAGAGACTGTGCAGCAGGTGGAACAGATGCAGAAGGAGCTGAAAGTAAGTAGACCCGTTATTACTCTTCGTCCGCTATTACTCTTCGGTAATTGTTGAGAAACACTATTTACACAAGCATAGCTTGTCCTATAGTTTGAACTTTCTTTTTTTCCAGCCTAAGTCGCAAATATTGTTGCGATGCAATTTTTGCGACAAAATGTGTTCATTTTGATCCAGCTATGAAGTACAGCCAACGCTAAGGATATTAATAGAGACTATTATGTTAAAAATAGCAGTTCAGTTTCAAGGTATCATGGATCTGTAACGTAGAGGTAGAGAAGGAGACCAGCAACAAAATAAGAGGGTTCGAACCTGGGCAGGGTCGGATGTTTTAAATGAACTTTTTCGTATGCTAGTTAAAATGCGTCCGCTCTATAAATTGAGGCATGTCTAAATTGAGGCATGTAAATGTCTTTTTTCTTCTTCAAATTGACTGGTACTGCTAATGCGTCTTAATTGGCTTGCGTCACTTAGCAATTATGTAGACTCATAATTGGCGTGTGTCACTTAAGAAATTTCGTAGACTCAAAGTTTTACTCATTCAGTTTTCCCAGTAGCGTTATCGGTCTTATTTTTGCTTGTGTATGCGAAGTGCAACTTCGCCTCTGTGTAAAACATTAGGTATCAGTGCGAAGCCCTGAGTATTTGACTGCCCTGAATATTCCGACTGCCCTTAAACATCTATGGAGTAGTGTTCGATTTAAAAAGAAATAATGAAACTTACAAAATCATACTTTTTTGAAACTCATCCCCCATATGCTTTTTAAAGCACAAATTGATGTATTTAGCAATCAGTAATGTATTCTTTAGAAAAACTAGTCTACCTGTATTCGGTTTGGAACAATTTCTGAGCCGGATTTAAAAGTCGCTCACGCGTTTATAGCACGAAGTACAGCGCGCGTTAGTTTTCCCAAATTGGCAATTTTAAAACCCTTATAACTTCGCGACAAATTATCACTGGTAAGTTATCTTGTTTAATTTGAGCTCAAGACATTAAGAGCTTCAGATGTAGGAAAAAAAATTCCGTCAATCAAAAATGGCTGATTAAACATTCGAAATGCGTCTGGAAACAATCACCCTTAGCACAAATATTCCGTCGCTTTCTTCGAAAGTCGGAATAATTATCCGGAAACTTTTGCCCTTTATAAGCATTACTTGGGTTACTTGCGATATAATATTGGAATTGTGAATGAGTTGAAATTCGGTTTTCTGCTGTAGATTTCTGACTTTTGTCGACGGAAATCTGTTGGCCTGAATAATTCCGCTAGTTCGCCTTTCCTAGTTCTCCTTGAAAGAGTCAATGAGTGTAGTGAAGACTCTTATATAGGCCATGGTGATTTTATTGTTTTTTTTTAGGAAAAGGTCTTAAACTTTGTTAGCATTCAAATCTGATTCTTCGCGGTTTGACTTTTCAGTGGAATGCAAACTCCACTATCGAACAGCAAAAGTGTAAAGTTCACGACAACGTGGATTTTGAAGTTTCAAAATTGGGATTTTAATTTTCAGATTTTTCAGCAGATTAAAAAGTCTACCTATTGATTCAGCTTTCTCAAACGAGTTAATTGAATTTAAAAAAGTGTCAATCATAAATTGTTCTTGAAATTCGAAGAGCTGTAAAGCCTTATATTTTGTCTTTTTTGAAGTTGTAAAGGTGAAGTTTTTTTTTAAAAAAAAAAAGAATTCAGACTCTTATATAGGTGCTGATTATTTCGTTTTTTTTTCAGAGAAAATCTTAAAATTTTTCAGGCTCAAATTTACTTTTTCGCTGTTTGACTTTTGATTTCTTATCAAGTTCAATTCATTGTCTTTGTTAGAAGGAAGTTAAACTTCACTATTGAACAGCAAAATGTAAAGGTCTCAAAAAACGTGATCGACTTATAGTTTCGAAAGTGGAATTTAATTTTCAGATTTTCTAGCGGACTAAAAATTTACCTATTGATCCAAGTTGGGTTAATTAAATAAAAAAACTGCGTGTTTTTGATAACACTCAATTTTGAAGTTCTATTCTAATTCATTTGCCAAAAGGAAAGAAAATTACGCTCTTTAAGGAAACAAATTTTGGGAAAAAAAAATAAGGAAAGAAAATTATGCTAATAAAATGGTGTGAAGAAACGCGAAGGGCTTTAGTTTTGAAAGTGGATTTTATTTTCGAGTTTTCCGTCTGAATAAAAAGTTAACCTTTCAGTCTTTTCTAGTTTTTGTAAATCTGGTTAATTTTATGGAAAAAATGCCAGTCATACAAGGTTTAATTTTTGAGTTCATTGACACTTTTTCATCTTTATGTTGGCTATGTGCATATAAGAACGAGTATACATGCATCTCGTGTTCGTTTGCAGGTGAAGTCGAAGGAGTTGGAGGAGAAGAATGCGTTGGCGAATGCGAAGTTGAAGCAGATGGTGGCGGATCAGCAGGCGGCAGAGAGTAAGAAGACGGAGGGCGAGGCACTGCAGGTGAAGCTGAAGGAGATGAGCGAGTACATCTCGGTGAAGAGGGCAGATGTGATGCACCAACTGGCGGCTGTAGAACCAGCCGTAGAAGACGCAAAGCAGGGTCAGTTCAAATCACGTTATTTCGCTCAATTTCAGGTCAGGAAGGAGCTGTTCTTTAAAACTTCTTATTAAGCTGATAACTACGTAACTATAGAGAAAACTCATAAATTAGTTCTGACGTTGCAGTTATAGGATGCATTGATGACTAAATTTTGCTCCTTTTTGAATTGTCTTGGTATGCCAAAAAGTAAGTTTTTAAGTTCAGATATGGCATGAAAATTTAATTGGCATGTTTTATCTAGTTTCAAATTTTCGAGACATCATATATTAAATAAGTTCATCCTCAATATTATATTGATAGAACAAAAGTGTCCAGGCTAACGCTGTCATGTTGATATTGCGGACAATGCTTGTATTTTGGAAACTATGTTTGCAGCTGTGAAGCAAATTAAGAAAGATCATCTGAGAGAAATCAAAGCTCTCAAAACCCCTCCGAAGCCAGTAGAAATGGCAGTGAGCTCACTAGTTCTCCTGCTGGGCAAGAAATTCACAGAGTGGAAGGACATCAAGGCCTTCATGGCCAGTGATTCATTTATCAAAAGCATCATAGAATTCGACTCGGAGAGCATCTCGTATGTTTCTAGGATGCCACCTTTTTCAGGATATATTGATTGACTGGCTCGATTTGGTGAATTGGGATCTCTTTAAGCCGGCATCTTAAGTCATTTCTTAACGCTAGTTGGAGATGGATTCTTGCTTAAAATGGCATAAATGACTGGCTTAAGTGACACTCGAAGCGGAGAACTTGGAACATTTAACTATCAACTTTCATATGGAGTGTTTCACGTTTTTTTTGTATTCCTGATTAAAATGGATCTTGTTTGTTTTTTCCCTTTCAGACTGCTGATACTACAAGTGACTTAGGTTTAGGGTTCTTTTGATTCTTTTCAGCTGTGAGCTCCATCAAGCGTCAGAATCTAGTTGAGATCAGGACAATGAACAATCCCCCTCCCCCAGTCAAAATCACTCTGGAGAGTGTCTGCCTCATGTTGGGAGAAGGAACTCCCACTTGGAGAGATATCCGCCAGTTAATAAACACGGCAGACTTCATCCCCAGGATTCTGAACTTTGACGCTGACCAGATCTCGTACGTGGTTGGGGGCTCTTTATCTTTCTCTCCTTTCACATATTTTCATGATTTTCTATACTCAAAACTGAAATGTAGAAACTTTAGAAAGCTCATCTTTCTAAAAATTTTGGTGCGATAACTCAAGTTCAATTAAAATTGATTATGATAAATATAGATAAAGATAAAAGCATCGATGGGTTTACAAATGGTTAAATGGCTGCTGATATGTCTAGGCCGTCGCAGCCAAACCGAGTTTGTCCTTCTTTAAAAGCTCTGCATTTCAGCGTTGAGATTCATCTTGTGAAAACTGCATGCTTCCCTGTTCCTTTTCTGAATAAAAAATAGACGTTTGTGTTCTCAGTTTGAGTGAAAATAGGAAACGAAGCTTAATACTAATTTAGGGACGAAATTCGTGAACAAATGAACAAAAAGTACCTCTCAAATCCGGATTACACCTTCGAGAAAATCAACAAAGCAAGTCAGGCGTGTGGACCTATGGTAAAGTGGGCAATTGCCCAGGTGAGCTACGCAGAGATGCTGCGCAAAGTGGATCCACTTAGACATGAGTTGAGTAGTTTGGAGAACCAGGCGGCCGAGAATCAGGCGAAAGCGGATGAGACTAATAAGTTGATTGCAGATCTGGAAGCGAGTATCGCTAAATACACGGCGGAGTATGCCCAGTTGATCAGCCAGGCTCAGAGTATCAAGACGGATGCCGAGTTGGTTGAAGCAAAGGTCAGTTGAGGGCGATCTAGACAGTAAAAAAGCCTGAAACCTTTTAAAAAAATCGTTAAATAGAAAAAATAAACCGATAGAGGTGTATTGCATGATTACCCTTGCGATAGCAAGGGTATTGCAATCGGGTAGAAGACTTTTTTCTCGTAAACAACTTTGTCCGCAGGACTCATTTGTCTCCTGGTGGTACCGTGGTTCATAATGAATTCAAAATTGGCAGTGTCTTTTGCACATTTAACCTGGTGGTAACTAATACGCCTAGGGCGGCAAAGGTCTCGGGTTCGAATCTGACCAGGACCAGTTTTTTTCAAACGCTAAATGTTCCGGTTCAAAAAAAATTCGGCCTATTCGCTTGTTTTGTCGGCTTAATTGCCTTATCTAACAATCATTTTTTAGCTGTAAATAGTTTTACCTGCAGTTGCTTTTAGCTTTTAAAAATCCGGCCGAATGGTAATCTGCTTTTCACATTGGTTGTAATTTTACCAGCTCGATTTGTTAAAATTTCACTTTTTTAATTTTTTTTCGTCTTTTATCGGCTCAATAAGTTTTGGCCTAATTAATATCGACTTATTGGCCTCATATTGCGTCGTTACGTCCGAAAAAACTTGTTGTGCGCGTGTGTGTGCTCTGAGGGGAAAGGGACCTAACATTTTTAGTAAGTTAAGAATTTTATGAATTTCTTTTCGGCATGAAGGGTTTCTGTTCAGGTTTTTTGGCTTTGTTACCGCTTGATAATTATAAATTCAAAACCAATCAAATATCCGGCGCTTCAGGCGTAGAGGTAAAACAACTGCTTGAGACGGCAAAGATTTGCGGTGCGTATCCGGCTGGGGCCTTTTTTGCAAAATAGAGTTTTTGTGCTTTTTCGGATTATCATCCGTCTGTTTATTTTTGTCGTCTTAGATCCCTTAGCTCGATTGTTCAGCTTTATTCCTAGTTGCTGTAACCCCCATGCTTGAGACGACAAAGCCCGGGAGTTCAATTCCAGTTGAGAGTGTTTCTTGTAAATAGAAAATTTTGGGCAATTAAGATTATTGTCTGTCTGCTTATTTTCGTCTGCTTAGTTTCGTAGAAAAGACTTTTTTGAAAACTTGAATTCTGTATAGCAATTCCAAAGCTCTTTGTAGAGTTTCTAATGGTGCTAGCAATTTTGTTACGGATTTTTTGGACTTTTGCTGCAGTTTTTATTGACAAAAACGATTTTTTTGTTTGATTTTCATAGTCATTCATATTCGTATCGCAAGTGGTGCGAAGCTCAGCTTCGCCTCTGTGTTATGTTTGCTATTAGCAAGCCTTAACTGCATGTTTAATTTGATGATTTGACTTTATTACTAATTGAAAATTGAGCAGAAGCAATTTTTTTGTAACTTGAAAGGATGGCGAAATACTTAGTGTTTGATTTGGATAATTGCACTTAGGTGACCCGAAGTCGAGCCCTGTTGGGCAGTTTGGAGAGTGAGAAAGTGCGATGGGAGGCAGGCAGCGAGACATTCAAGGCACAGATGGCCACCATAGTCGGAGATGTGATCCTGTCTTCCGCCTTCATGGCCTATGCCGGATACTTTGACCAGAGCATGCGACGTGTGTTGGTGCAGGCATGGAGCAAACAGCTGCAGCAGTCCAACATCATCTTCAGAACTGACTTGGGTTAGTTTGATAATTGCCATATGCGTATATGGAATTGGAATCTACCCTAATGAAGGAAATTACAAAAAACTCTAGTTTTAAATTTGACTTCTTGTATCGTTGATTGGCTGAAGAGAAGGGTCAGCTAAAAATTTCACCCAGTGAAAAATGGTTTTAGTAAACTTAGCGATGGTTTAATGAAAACCTCTTTTCTGCTGTTCAGCTTTGGTGGAGTATCTCTCCTCTGCGGACGACAGACTCTCCTGGCAGGCCAACTCGCTCCCGGCTGACGACCTCTGCGTGGAGAATGCCATCATGCTCAAGAGATTCAACAGATACCCGCTTGTGATCGACCCCAGTGGCCAGGCCACAGAGTTCATTTCCAAGGAGTACAGGCACAAGAAGATCACCAAGACAAGGTGCACTGATATTTTTGCTATTTTTCCATGAGACAGTCAAAATACTGGGAAAAGTTTTTTTTCTATTAACTCTGATATGCATAAAATTGAATAAATCATGACATTATAACCAGCTAGAATCTTTCCGAGTGTTTTCAACACTTAATTTTTTTTGGAATTGTGAAACAGAAGTATTAGGATTCCCTTAACAAATTCCACCTTCCCTTTTACGAGAGCTAGAAAACTCCTTGCTAGTTTCATGATTAGTGTATGCGCAGCAGTTGAATAAGTCATTGTCATATATAGTCATGGATTCTTTTCTTGGTACGACAAGTATATGCTGAAGAGATCTGACAGTCTCGTGCTTTTTAAGAGTCGATGAACATAGTTCAGACTTTTTATAGGTCGTGATGATTTTTTGCGTTTTCAGGAAAAGTCTTGTAATGCTCTAATATCAAAAAGATATAATGCTCTAATCTCTAATACTTATAAGAATGCCCGGAGGTAATATGCACTTTTTGAGTTCAATTAAGTTCATTTGTTAGAAGATAGGCAAAATGCACTCTCCAATTATGAAAAAAATGAAATATGATCTATTTCTAGTTTTGAAAGTGGATTTAGTTTTTAGATTTCCCAATGGAAGAAAAACTTTTCCTATTAATACAGTTTGCTCATATTGGGTTAATTTATCACACAGTGCCAATTTTAAGTTGCTACTGAAATTCAAAGAGCTTTAAGACTTTCCAAAGAACTTTAAGACATATACTTTTTTGTTTGAAATTCGAAAGTTGAAGTTTGTCCAAATAACAAGTCTTTTTTTTGTTTCTTTGCGTTCATTGTTTCTTTTCCAACTGTCTGTTGGCTATTTTCTTCAAATTGTATTGCTTTTATATATCTTTCGTTAGAGACTTTCACAATAGAATGAATTTGTTTTAGCTTCTTGGACTCCAACTTCCGAAAGCACTTGGAGAGTGCCCTTCGATTCGGAAACCCACTTCTGGTACAAGACGTTGAGTCTTACGATCCGATCTTAAACCCTGTTCTGAACCGAGAAGTTCGCCGAACTGGAGGACGTGTCTTGATAACAATTGGTGACCAGGATATTGATTTGTCGCCGACATTTGCGATCTTCCTCTCAACGCGAGACCCGACTGTGGAGTTCCCGCCTGATTTGTGCAGCCGAGTGACATTTGTGAATTTCACAGTGACGAGGAGTTCGCTGCAGAGCCAGTGTCTGAATACGGTTCTGAAGTCTGAGCGACCAGACGTAGATGAGAAGCGGTCGGATCTGCTGAAGTTGCAGGGAGAGTTTAGACTGAAGTTGAGGCACCTGGAGAAGTCGCTGTTGAATGCATTGAATGAGTCAAAAGGATCGATTCTGGAAGACGACAAGGTCATTATTAGTTTTTATATACACTAATCTTTGCTATGCTAGTGGTCCTCTTCAACAGTTCAGAATGAAACTGTATCTATGAAAGTGCGAAACCAGAAAATCCTAATCAGATTAGAAATTTATCCATTGAAACAAATGGAACATCTATAGTTCGTTGAAAGAATTGAAATTTAGGTATTGCCAGAGTCTTGTCAAAAGTCTAAATGTTAAATCATACTGTACTTGGCGCTTACGAGGGAATTAATTGGAAAGATTTACCGAATTCATGATTGTATTACTAGGTTCCATGAACAATAAATGATTGCTTCATTTACGAATCAGATCGTTTTCAAGGGTAAATATGTGTTTTTGATCTGTTCATGTTGTTGTGCAGGTGATCACAACCCTGGAGACGCTGAAGAAGGAGGCGGCGGAGGTGCAGAAGAAGGTGGAGGAGACTGACGTCATCATGGCCGAGGTAGACGCCACCTCACAGCAGTACGCTCCGCTGGCCACCGCATGCAGCAAGTATGTGCCATCACTATCTTGTCTTCTTTATCACTCATAACTTCCGAAACTAATGATTGCTATCGAATCTCAAATTTGCTCGGATTAGAATGCGTAAATGACTGTATGAATTGAGTTTATCTGTTTTTTGAGTAGTAGTAGCAACAATACTTAAATTTTACTAGGCAGAATTGAAAAGAGATTTGCCTTTTAAATGAAAGTCATCAATTGAGATAGTGACCCTTTTTTTACTGGAAATCCACCTTGACTTAATGTGTCTTAAAAATGAATTAGACGGAAGTATCCTATGATTCTGAATTCCGATGACAGATGTATTCATTTGGATTGCATTGATCTCCAATCCAAAAAGCGCTGACTCGTACGATTGAATGGTTTTGCCTAATCATTTATCTTGTGGTAATTTTGGACCTGTCTTTCAGTGTGTACTTCACCTTGGAGGCCCTGAACCAGGTGCATTTCCTGTACCAGTACTCACTACGCTTCTTCCTCGAAATATTCCACGCGGCCCTGCAGGGCAAAGGGGCGACTGACAGCAAGAACCCACTGAATGGAGTGAACGACCCGGGACAGAGACTGAAGATCATCAACAGACTGCTGTTTGCACTCACCTTTGAAAGGGTGTCCAGGGGCATGTTGCATCAAGACAGAATGACCTTCGCAGTGTTGTTGGCCAGGATTCAAATGAAGGGAAATCCAGGGTATGTTTAAAATGCCGAGTGTGATCTTTCAAAATGACGTTTTGATTGTGCTATCGGACGGAACATGGTTTATATTTGAAGGATAAAACCACTAAAGAGACATCAAAATTACGGTGTTCGCGTAATTTTATGACATAATTTGTGACTGGTTAAACGAAAATTATTTGGTACATTCAAATTAGTATCTAACCTGTGTTTATAACTGGAGGTATAATCATGTGTCTTTTTCAGGTTACAAGCCGAACTTGGGTAAATGAATTGACTAACTGTTATTTTCTGAATCTGATATAAAACAAAATTCAATTATTCAAATGCAACACTTACACTGAAACTGGTAAAAGTAAATGCGAGCGAATAGTTTGTCAGTTGAAAAGCATGGATTTGCAAGTTAAACATTTAAATTGTCTGTCGTCTCGAAGCATAAATTGGGGACATAATATTTCTGACTATGGTAATGCCAAACTAACTAATATTATCCTGTAAAGAAGCAGTCATCAGACTAAACGAAATGTTTTGTCCTGTGCCACAGAAAAAGCATGTGCATTTTCTAATCGATATAATTGAATGTAATGAATTTGGTTGGTTTGGGTCACTCAAGTTGGAACACTTTTGTTTTCCCAGAGACCACGGATTCGACCCGGAGTACAGACACTTTATAGAGGGTAACCAGAAGGTAGTGATGGCCAATCCGCCCCTGATACTTCCTGGACTGCAGTTGGAACAGGCGGAGAGAATGACCAAACTGGCATCGTCGTTGCCAGCATTCAAGAGCATCTACAACAGCGTAGAGTCCAGTCGCGAAGTGAGTTTAATCTCAGCGTATTTCCTCGGCTTCAGAAAATATCGTTAATAGCTACTCGAGACATTTTATAATCAAAAGGCACTGTACTGTGTTTGTTTTGCATTTGAAACGGGGATCTAATACCTGTAAAGCATCGCACTAACGACTGTAAGTTGAAGTTCTTAGGTCTTCATGTGGAATTCAAAAAGAAAAGTGTTTTAGCAGAAAGGATTCCAGGTGTATTCCATTGTCCTTTTTGATCATCTATTTTAAGATAGGTAGCCCTTATTTTGCCTCTATTAGTTGATTCAGTTTATTGACAAAATAGCGAGCCATATTAAAGTGACCAGACAACCTTAAGGAGAGCAGGAAAGAAGGGTTAAAAGAGATCAACTGCGGTTGTCCGCAATGAGCTGTGAGCTTATTTAGGTGATTAATAACTTTAATCTACTCAAGAAAAAATTTTAGTTTTCGAACTGGCTGAACGAGACCTATCCGGAGACGAAGGTACCGGAGGAGCTGTGGCAACTTCCGAGTGGAGCGAAACCACTGAACAAAGTGGGCACTGCTCTCTACAATCTACTGCTGGTGGAGGCATTCAGACCGGACAGACTGTTGGCAGCTGTCAATCTCTTCGTAGCATCAATCATGGGGGAGGAGTTCCTCAATGTGATCGACTCGCCCCTGGATCTGAAGAGAGTTGTAGAAGAAGAGGTGGAGATATATTTCATCCTTAAAGAAAAGTTTTTAAATTGCACTACAAGACTACAATCTGATTGGCAAAAGTGAAATGTCAAGGAAATAAATTTACCAAAATTTTGCCTGGGGTCATAAGCTGGGGGCTAGAGGCTTCTACCGAAAAAAAACATTGATAATTCTTACATTTAGTGAACTAAGGACTTTAGTGAACATGTTTTTTGAGTTAAGCCCTAGCTTCGTAAAGGCGGCTTACAGAATATTGTATGCTGCAATAACGACGACCAAGAACTGAGTATCCTTTACGACCACGAATCATGTTAGATTTCTTAAATAAAATGGTTTGTTCTGCTAAGGTGAACTGTGGCACAGCTGTGCTGATGTGTTCTGTGACTGGATTCGACGCATCAGGAAAAGTGGAGGATTTGGCTGCAGACACTGGCAAACAGCTCACCGCCATCTCAATCGGTAAACGGCAACCTGAATTACTATGCCTGATGGATATCTTGAAATAAGTTTTTCGCAGTAAAATCAGCACAAAATACGTTGGATTTGGTATATTTTAGGATCTGCTGAGGGTTTCAAACAAGCGGACAGCGCGATCAGCATGGCCGCCAAGTCAGGTCGATGGGTGCTGCTGAAGAACGTGCATTTGGCCCCTCAATGGCTAGCAGGAATAGAGAAGAAACTCCACAGTTTGACCCCAAATCCCCAATTCAGACTGTTCTTGACGTGTGAAATAACTCCGAAGCTCCCAATGAATTTGGTGCGAGCGGGACGCGTCTTCGTGTTTGAGCCGCCTCCTGGAATCAAAGCGAACTTGATGAGGACTTTCGCTGAAATACCAGCGAGCAGAATTACCAGAGTAAGATATTTTTTCTAATCATACTTTAGTGTGTCCAAATTTTTCGTTTGCCATGTTCGAGCGTTTTGCTGTTGTGTGCTGGGATTATATTTGCCTACTTGAAGAATTTCACAAATTGAATTTCAAAAACTGCAACTGAAGAAATTCAAATACCGGTTTCGAGAACCAAGATCTCTTGGAGTTCATTCGGATATATTCGAGTTCCGATCTGTTTTGTTTCTAGGCCCCAAATGAAAGGTCTCGACTGTACGTTCTGTTGGCATGGTTCCATGGCATTGTTCAAGAAAGACTGCGCTACTCGCCTCTCGGTTGGAGTAAGAAGTATGAATTCACTGACTCGGATCTCAAATGTGGATGTGACTTGCTCGATACCTGGATTGACTCGACATCAAAGGGACGATCGAATCTGCCGCCAGAGAAAATTCCCTGGGATGCCATGCGAACTACTCTGGCTAATTGTATCTACGGAGGAAAAATCGATAATGATTTTGACCAGATGTTGCTGAATGCGTTCCTGATGAATCTTTTCACGGCCAAGAGTTTCGAGGGAGACTTCGCCCTGATTGATGATTCGGACGGACAAGGCACTCCAATTTTGATGCCGGACGGAATAAGGTTAGTACAAATGTTTTTTACACAAGCAATGCTTGTGTTATAGTATGAACTATCTTCTTTTTCTCCAACCTAAGTCGCAAATATTGTTGTGACGCAAATATTGTTGCAATAAAATGTGTTCATTTTGATTAATAACCACTTATCAAGTTCAGCCAATGCTAAGGTTTTCAACAGAGACTATTATTGTTACGACTTTCGTAACGAAAGTAACAGAATATTTGTGCTCGGCGTGGTTTTTTTTCTTCAGACAAATATCGACTTTTTAATTAGCCATTTTGACGGGATTTTTTTTTGATATCATTCAAAGAGTATTGTTGCCCTGAGCTTAAAATAGGGGGGTTTAAAAATTGCCAATTTGGAGGACAATTAACGCGTGATATATTTCGCGCTATTAACGCGTACGCGGAGATTTAATCCGTCATAGAAATCGTTCCAAATTGGTTGAAGGAAGCTTGTTTGCCATAATTGCTTTGTTACTAGGAGCGAAGTTTATCACTTTCCACTTAATATGGCGTGTGCGGGGATGATTTTTACAAAAAATTTCAGGTTAAGACATTTCGTTTTCTTATTACATTAAATTTTTTCATGTTATTACTGCTCCATAGACTGCTCTATAAATTGAGACATGTTATTTGGTAAATTTTTTTTAAATTGACTGGTACTGCTAATGCGTCATAATTGGCGTGCGTCACTTAAGAAATTTTGTTGTAGACTCAAAGTTATACTCATTCAGTTTTTCCCAGTAGCGTTATCGGTCATATTTTTTTTGCTTGTGTATTCGAAGTGCAACTTCGCCTCTGTGTGAAATAGATGACTTTCGAGGTTTCTAGAAAGAAATGTTTTGTTGCCTGCTTGTTAGTAGGAGTCGATGAACTGAGAGCAGACTCTTATATAGGTCGTGATGTTTTTTGAAAAAGTCTTAAAAACGCTCTAATAATTACAGAAGTTTATACATACATTTTTATTCATTTATGAATGCCCTTATTAGACAGCAAAGCTTGTGTGATGGTATGAACTCTTTTTTTTGCAAACCAATTCGCAAATATTAGCGTTTATTTTGAAAGTGTTCTTTTATTGAGAGTAATGAACGTAGTGAGTGCTCTTATATAGGTGTTGCTGATTTTTTTTCAGAAAAAAAGTTCAAATTTGTTCACGCTCAATTTTGATTATTCGCGGTTTGACTTCTGATTAAGTTCAGTGCATTTTCATTGTTAAACGGAAGGTAAACTCCACTATCGAACAGCAAAAATGTAAAGGTCACGAAAAACGGAAATTGTTTATCAGATTTTTCAGCGAAATAAAATTTTTACGTATTGATCCTGCTTTCTCAAATTGGGTTAATTCTAACAAAAAAGTGTCCTTCATAAATTCTTTTACTAATTCAAAGAGCTTTAAGGCCATCAATTTTTTTCTTCGAAATTCAAAAATTGAAAGCTCTTGAATAAACAAGTCAGTTTTTTAAGTTTTATTGCGTTCATTACTCTTTTCCAACTGTTTGTTGGCTATGTTTGCAGTATGTGCATACGATCATTAACCAGCTATTAAGTACAGCTAGTGCTAAGGATATTAAAACAGACTATTATTTTACAAATAGCACTTTAGCTTCAAGGTATTATGAATCTAGCGTAGAGGTAGGGAAAGAGACCCGTAACGAAATAAGAGGGTTCGAACCTGGGCAGAGTCGGATACCTTAAATGAAATTTCACTTATACTAGTTAAAATGCGTCCGCTCTATAAATTGAGGCATGTTTTTTGTTCAATTTCTTTTTTTTCAAATCGACTAGTACTGCTAATGCGTCATAATTGGCTTGCGTCACTTAGCAGTTATGTGAACTCATAATTGGCGTGCGTCACTTGAGAAATTATATAGAATCAAAGTTATACTCATTCAATTTTTCCCAGTAGCGTTATCGGTTCTATTTTTGCTTGTGTATGCGAAATCCAACTTCACTTCTGTGTATAAATGTTTTTTTTTCATTTGCTAAAAGGCAGGCGAAATTCGCTCTCCAATTACGAAAAAGGAAATGGCCAAGAAATGTGATCTTTTTCAAGTTTCGAAACTGGAATTTAGTTTTCAGATTTCCTAGCGGAATGAAAACCTTTGCTAACAGTTTTCTCACTTCAGATTATTTATAAAAGTCAGTTTTTTGTTTCTTTGCGTTTATTGACTCTGTTTCAACTCTGTTGGCTTCGTTTGTTGCAGCCTCTGAGAGTGGGGATGAACTTTCTTTGTCGTTTCGAAGTTTTTGATTTTTTGTCCAATTTCGAGCGAATAAAGCTAGCGAGCAGGCCTATAAAAGTAAGCTTATAATTGAAATTAAGTCGTCAAATTTTGTTTGAAGTTAAGCCATGAAAATCCAGTAAAATTAGTTTTCGAAACTTCTAGCGCGTTGTGGGAATAAAATTTCAACGATAAAAAAATCCTCAAAAGTTTTTTTTTCTAATTTTCAATGTCACTAATTTTCTATTACTATCAAAGTTTTACGCGTTCGCTCAGATCCTCTCATTACTCCACGAAAGAAAAATGATGCGAGACGCAATTAGAAAAAAAAAGTTTTTTTTTTGTGGCTGGAACTTTCTGTGCTAATTGCTCGGCCACCGTCTATCCTCGTTTTAATTCAGTTTTGATATAAAGTCATAAGCAATTTCGTGCGAGTACTCCAAATTAGTTTGCAGTCCGATTTCAGGTGCACCAAATTAACACAAAATTAAGAAAAACAATCAGAGGCTATTTTACTAACTTGTTGGCTGTTTTTTTTTCAGCGATGGCCTTCAATTGTTCGACAACTTCTCTCTTTTAAAGCTATCAGAGTTATAATGTACGATCAAGGCAATTTTGTGTTATCAGACACGAGCAGTTTGTGAAGTGGGTGGGAGACTTGCCCGACACTCAGACCCCATCATGGCTGGGGCTGCCCAACAACGCAGAGACTGTACTCCTCACAACCAGAGGTCAGTTCACTATCAAAACGACATCTAACTGAAAAATTGTCTAATTACCTGGGTCTGAATCTAGAGAAAGTTGTTAGCTTTCGCGCAACCTAGTCACCCAAGCAGTAGTTTTGGCTTTGCAGTAAAATTGATATCCTTATTCAATTTTTCGTACGCATAAGATAAAGTTTCTATGTTGAGATCGTAAAAGTTGAGGGGTTCGACAGTCTCTAAGATAACTTACGTGTTTGAAATGTAATGTTTTCTAGGAATTGAGATGACGACGAAGCTGTTGAAAATGCGCACTCTGGAGGATGAGAGTGAAGAGGACTTGACTGCGGGAGGAGGTCTGGACCTACTGGGTGATGCAGTGGGCAAGGGAGGCCAGGACGGAAAGGGAGGCGAGGGTGGAGCTTTGGATGATGGGAGGCCGGCATGGATGAAACAACTGGCAGATACAGCCTCTGAGTGGCTCAGTCTCGTTCCCAAGGTCAGTTACGCTCATAGGAAAACGTGGAATTCGCAGTGGAAAACAAATTTTTTGTTTTCTGTCATGTTATCTAATGAAAGCAAGCGGAAAGCATTTTGTATCATATAAAAATTATTGCAAAACGTTGAATGATATAAAAAATTGAATAGATTTTCCAAAACTAAATCTAATCATTCATAATTTCGCTGCTACAAATGATGTCTGTCATCTCTGAAATCTGTAACAATCTTTCGTAATCTCGTAAAGGTGAAGTAAAACTTGAAATTTTTTCAGGATAATGTAAGTTGTAGCTACAAACTGCTTTCAAATTAATTCTGGCTTCAATCGAATAAAAAAGTGTCCGAAAATGTAAATTGATTACTTGATCAGAGCAAATTCTGAGTTTCATTAAGATCAACTTGTGTTCATTGTATTTGTATTTTAAAAGGAGGTAAAGTAAACAGCAACAGATACATGAAAAGCACTGGATAGCAGGGTCTTCTAAATCATCAATTGTTTCTAAACTTGAAAGTGTTCAAATGTTTCTAAAGGCGAAATTGGAGAATCTATCTGGTTCAGAAGATGGTTGCAGGTTTCTTTTTAGCTCCTGAGCTGATGTTGAAATCTTTCAGTTCAAAATAAAATAATAAAACCGGGTTGAGGGCATGGTGATAGTTGTATGAAGTATTTCCTCAGAGAAGACTGCTGCGAGACTGTGATGAACTTCAGGTTATCCGAAATGTCATAACGGGGTTACCTAAACTATCGAACATAGTCGTTTCCTAGTTTTCAGGAAACAATGAAAAACGGTTTGAAGCAGGGTTTGAATGTTTTGGGACAGTGTGTTAAATTTAATGTCACTGTCAAACTTCTGATCAATTGGTCAATCAGCTTGTATACATGAAATGGAAGTTGTAGCGTACCATCATTGATTCGCTTAACAAATAGCAATAGAGTGTCGCCTGTTTTGCAGAGTCTGCAAGTGCTGCAGCGTAACTCTGAGAACATCAAGGACCCCCTGTTCCGCTTCTTCGACCGGGAGATATCACAAGGGGCAGCACTGTTGGAGGATGTGAGGCGGGATCTGAGGGATGTGGTGGCAGTGTGCAAGTTGCAGAAGAAACAGACCAACTATCTCAGACAGCTCATCAGCTTTCTCTCTAAAGGTTAACTCCTGGCTTAGAAGTTTGAACGTTTGCTTTGCAATAGATAATTAGCTTAGACTTGTTGAGTAACATCGCTGCAGTCTATATTTTTTTAAAACAAGTTTAATAAGAACAAGAATGGAAAGCTGTGATTTTCTCGCTATTTTCATTAATCGCATATAAATGTCGTAATCAGGAGCAGGTATGAGAAGACCTCACACTCTTAGGAGTTCAATTATTTCTCAACCCAATTGTTCCGTCTTCTTTTGATAGACATTACATTACTTTTCTCCCGATTATCCAATAATTGTCTCGAGTCGCCTAAGATACAAATTGAAAGGGAAATTGCGTCGAAAAAAAAAACATTTTCGTTGTTCAAACCTTCCAAAAAGCGACAAAACTCAAGTCACGTGAATGTTTTAAACTGGTAGTTTATTTCAGGCATCTTGCCTTCCAGCTGGAACCGATACAAGGTGCCAAAGTCTGTGACAGTGCTGCAATGGATCGCTGACTTCAGCGAGCGAGTGAAACAGTTGAGAGAGATTTCACAGGTGGCAAATGATAGTCCGAATAGCACAGCCCCCCTGAAGGGTATCCACGTGTGGCTGGGGGGACTGTTCACTGCGGAGGCGTACATTACAGCCACTAGACAGTATGTGGCTCAGGCCAATCAGTGGTCGCTGGAGGAGTTGTCTCTACAGGTACATTTCTTTCATTCTTCAATTGACTTATACTTACTTATTGAAATATAAGATAACCTTATCTACACTTGCAAGTGTTGTGTAATAGTACGACTATTCTTTCTTTCCAACCTAAGTAGCAAATAATGGTGCTTCTTTGGTGGCACCTTTACGGCTTTTTGATAGAATTAGTACGTCTTTCGAATAGTAATAAGTTAGCGCAGTTGATGCGTTTTTTATTCATCAACTGAGCCAAAAAAGCTATTTGTTTCAAACAACAGTACAATAATTAAGAGTAATGAACGTATTAAAGACTCTTATATAGGTCTTGCAGATTTTTTTTTTCAGGAAAAGTCTCTAATAGCTACAGATGTGCATTCATACATATTGATGCATTTATGTATGCACTTAGGTATATATGCATTTTTTGAGTTCAATCGAAATTCAACTGCTGAAAGTGACGTAAATAGCACTGTCCAAATATGAACGTGGAAATGGCGCAAAAAATGTGAACGATTTCTAGTTTCGAAAGTGGAATTTAATTTTAAGATTTCCCAGCGGAATAAAAACTTAACGTATTGATCCAGTTTTCTCAAGTTGGGTCCATGTTATCAAAAAAAGCACCAATCATATATTGTTCTAGAAGTTCAAAGAGCTTAAAGGGCATCTATTTTTTTCTTTGAAATTCGAAAATTGAAATTTTTTCATGAAAGTCAGTGTTTTCTTATGTTTACTTGCGTTCATTACTCTTTTCTAATCTTCGATTGGCTATGTTTAGACTTGCGATCAGCGTTGTGTATTATTACGAACCTTTTTTCTAGCATAACTCGCAAATAAAAATGTTCATCAAAAGTGTTCAATTATTTGAAAATTTACTGTAGCGTTGGAAATTGCATAGAATCTGTTCTCTGCTTTCTTCGAGACTCTTAACTTAGTGTTCGAGACTCTTAACTTAGTGTTCGAGACTCTTAATCTCTTGGTCGCAGGTTTCGCAGGTTCGAATCTCAGGTAGCAATTTTTTTTATTACTTGAGGCTTATTTCTAATTTTTATTATTGCACTACATAGAGCTACTTTTTGTGTTTTCTCGCCTGTGTTTTCTCGCCTCCAACTCAAAATATCTTGCAATTTTTTAGAAATGCAAAATTCATTCATGCTTTCCAATTGATTACATGCAAAGTTAGTCTGGATGCCTTCAGTTTGTTATATTTCAAATTATTAAATGCAAAATTGTGTCTTTGTATTTGGTGCCATTTTTGCTGCATCGCATTGGCAATTTATTGGCATATGTAGCTGCTTTATTTGTGAATAGTGTTTGCCGATAGTTAGACGTTCATGGCAGGGCGTGAGAATTCAAGTCTCGAGGTTGCTGGTTCGAATCTGATAGTTAACAAAGTTTTAACTAATTCGAGGCTTATTTCTACTTTTTTATTGCACTTTATAAAGCTGCTTTTTTCGTGTTCTCGCTAATGTTTGTGAAGCACAGCTTCGCCTCTGTGCATTTCGATAACGCCGATTGTGGCGTGCCAACGTGTTTACTTCGAAGATAAAGTTTTTGCATGAATCTGCATTGGTAGCCAGTTACGCTTGTGATTTGTCAGCGTTATCAAACCGGAATATAGCTTTTTCCAGGTTAACAACTTGTTAAACACAGTGTTTTGAAGCATTGACAGCAGTACGTGCGCTACATTAACGCGCTGACACGCTCAATTTTTCGAATATTCAGATAAAATTACTGTATTATCTGGTTGATGTTACAGTACCCTTTTTAGCAGTTGTTTTAGTTCTCTTTATATTGCAGTTTTTTTGGTCAAATTCACTTTTTGGTCTTTTGTTTCTGCTTTGTTTTTGTCGGCTCAGTTTTTTTGCTTGAATTTTATACATAGTCAAGGCTTCATTGATAAAATTGGTAGTAATTTGGTTTTTTTTTGGCTCAAACCGTTTATTCGTCTTATATAGTTTCGTCATACTGCAACATTTGGAAGGCGATAATAGGTTTTTAAGTGTGTGTGTGTGTGTCTCTTTTCAGAAGTGAAGCAATGTTAAAACTTCGAGTTTTCAAGTTTTATAGCTGAATTTTGTGACAACAATTTTGTTTTCGGCTGAACGGTCATCTACCCATGTATCGTCGGCTTAATTACCGCTAGATACATTTTGCCTGAATGCTAATTTAACACTGGAAGGTAAGCTTTAAGTTTTCTTCAATTTGAAGTGCATTCGTCGAGACCCACAAGTTTTTGCTAAAGGCAGTTTTTTAAGAGTCAATGATCATATTCAAGACGCTCATATAGGTGATGATTTCGTTCCAAGAAAAGTCTTGAATTGCAACTATAGCAGATATTGCGAACAATCCTCATTTTTGTTCATGTCACAGGTGAAAGTGTACGAGGACGTGCACACTAGACTGGACATGTGTTCCTTCGGAATCCTGAATCTGAACTTGTTGGGGGCTCAATGTGTAAACAACAAACTATCGCTGTCCTCCAAAATATCCACCGACATGCCACTCACCGCCCTCAGCTGGGTCAAGTGAGTAAATACTAGAAAACAAACAATCATATGAATAAAGAAGAAAAGTTAGAAAAAAAACATTATCGATGATTTTATTCATTTGTTATTGATATTGAACAAACTACTTTTAAAAAAATCTGTAGAAATGTCAATCAAACTAGTCCTCGTAGTTGCAAACTCTGTACAGTATAAATCTTCTATTTGAGAAAAACTTCGAATTGCCTAATCTCCTACAGACGCGTTGAAAAGATCGTCAAATAATCTTATTGTTTCTATGTTAATTTTGTGGGTTGTGTTTAGGTTACCGCCTGAGCAGCGAGACATTCTTACTGACATCCAAGTGAGGCTGCCAGTCTACTTGAACTTCACCAGATCAGAGCTGCTTTTCACTCTGGACTTCGACACTGTGAACTCGGATGGCATGAAGTTCTACGAGAGAGGAGTTGCATTCCTATGCTCGAAAGCTGTCTAAATAGACAAAAAGAATGAAAAGGATAATTAGCGATTCGTTTGAAGATCCTATTTTGAAACACTCTGATTGAATCAGAGCTGGAACTTCACTTAATGCTACTCAAACTAACATAGTACTGTAATTAATGGTGTGTATCTTAAATTAAAAAAAAAACTAACTCTTGTTTCGATATAATTGGTGAATATGCAAATGAGGTTATTTTAAAACACTTATTGAAAAAGAGCAGGGGTAACCAATTCGCAAAAAGTTCATGGATTGCGTTGAACCTAACGTATTTATTTATTATTTGGGTTGTTTGGGAATGCTCTTAATTGTTGCTTTTAGTGAAATAGATTGACTAACTCATGGAAGGGAACTAAAGTGTGTAATAAATTGGTGTAAGAAACGAATACAATAAATAAATATAACATTAGTTTTTGATTACAGGTTTTATCAGATAGAAAATGCAAAATAAACGGCCTGCAGTGTGGGTTACCGTTTTAAGAAAGGAAAGTTTGCTGCAGCATTAGGAAACTACCATGTCAATTTCTAAAACAATGACTTAAAATTTAGTCTTTACTGTGTTAATTTAGTGAATTTTGAATGTCAACCATACTTTTCAAGGCTGTCAAAAACTGCAATTAAACAATAATTTCATTAAGAATGCTTCCAACAATTTTTGGCGTGCTTGCTGCCAGATAACCTAATTATGCGAATTAAGTGTCAATAAACGTAGCGAAGAAGGCAACATTTTTACACCGGTCGTGATGATTTTATTCTGGAATAAGTCAAAAACATTGTTCATTAAGAATGTTTAATTAAGTGTCAATAAACGTTGCGAACAAGTGAAAAACTTTATACAGGTCGAGATGTTTTTTTTTCCGGAAGAAGTCTTACATTGTTCAAACTCAGATTTGATTTTCGTGGTTTGTTTTTTGAGTTCTTTATAAGTGCAGCTCAAGTCCTTTGATAATAGGAAGGCAAAATCCCCTATCGAACAGTAAAGTGTAAATGTCTCAAAAATGTAGCTGACATAATTTCAAAAAATATCGAATTTTATTCACTGAACGTAGTGAAGACTCTTATATAGCTCTTGATGATTTCTTAAATTTTTTTTAGGAAAAGTCTTTTAAATTGTTCACGCTAAGTTTTGATTTTTCTCGGTTTGGCTTCAATCTTTTTTTAAGTTCAATTTATTTCCGTTGTTAAGCAAAGACTAACTCAGGGAATAAAAAAATTAAGCGATTGCTTCAGTTTTCTCAATTTTTTTAACCCTTGCGATAAGCAAGGGTATTGCAATCGTGTACTAGACTTTTTTCCCCGTAAATAACTTGTGGCAAAGGACTCACTCCTGGTCCTGGACTCATTCTCGTTGTCCTAATTGCAAATCAAATCATCTTCCTCTCTGTTGCAAATAATATGCTCATCTTATTTTTATTATTGTTTTAAATATCCCAGCTTTTCGAAATTGGCTTTTCATGTTGGTTGTAAGTTTTCTTGCTCGCTGTTTTAAAACAAAATTGTTTTTGTTTGTCTTATTTGCCGGCTTATTAAATTTCGGTCTATTTTATATGGGCTGAGTGGTCTCATTTTGAGCCGTTTAATAAGCAAACTGTTTTTCCTGTGTGTTTCGGGGAGTGGAAATGTTTTGTTTTAAAATTTTTTGTATCTCAGATTTTTCTGTTTGTCCTTGTTTTCGGCTTTATAGATTTTGGGCCTATTTTATATAGCATCAGTGGCCTCATATTCAGCCTTTCGATTTGCAAAAAGTTTTCTGTGTGTTTTGAGGGAGAAAGGAACTTGTCGTTTTTTCAAGTTGAGAAATATTGCAGCTTGAAGGTTTCTGCGCAGTTCTTTTTGGCATTGTTACTGCATGGTAAATTTTCTTCCGATGCTAATTCTGCATTCTTTTGTACGAGCATGTTTTTTCCAATCTATTTAAGATCTAGTATTTATACATTAAGATTTAGTTGCTTGTATAATTATATAATTTCAATAATTCAGTTCAGTTTCCGAAATGTGTATACCACCTTGACTTCTTTACATGAATGACATTCGAGGATACTATATGGGCAGTACATGGTTTTTTATCAATTTTGTTTTGCCGAAACATTTCGGTTGAGTTTTAGCTTATTGGCTGCCGGCTTCAATTACGTTGGCATATTTACCATTTGTCTGGCTTCTACAATTTTCCAATATTATGTATGAAATAGATAAGACCATCGCGCCACATTTTTGAATCCGTAAATTCTAAACCATTGGGATCTCTTAAAAATACTTTGTTTTTCTAGAATAATTTTTTTCAAATGTAACATTGTTGTAAGTCCTTTTTATCAATTCTTGAGCGTTATGCTGTTTTAACCCTGTAATTGCTGTATCGCAAGTGGTGCGAAACTCAGCTTCGCATCTGAGTAAAAAGGTCCCAGTCACGAATTTTTCCTGACTTTCAAGGAGTTTAAGTGCATCTAACTTTAAGAGTCAATGACCGTAATTTGTGTCAATTTTTTTTTCTGTTTTTTTTTTCAAGAAAAGTTTTAAAATTTGCTTAATCTCATTTTTTCTTTGGTTTGACTTGTCATTTTTTTTTGCTTGAAGGAAGGAGCTCTACTATCGAACGGCGAAAGTCATGAAAATTGAGAATGAGCTGAAAGGGGAAATTTAAATCAAAACGCTGCAAAGAGCTGGGAGGTAAAGGACTTCAAGCCTGTCACGCTGATGTCGACAGTAGAATTGTGACAAAAAGTCATAACGTCAACGAATGGAAGCACCTTTTGCTTCAACAAGACTGGTGACCAAATCATGGAGGTCATGAGGTGACGATGTATCTCAAAGTATCCAGTGATCTTTTACTCGGCCACCTGAACATTGATGTGGATCGCCTATGGGATATATAGTCCAATACGCCGTCCAGAGCAGTGAGCACCCTGCTGACAGATGTTGCAGGAAAAACTTTCCGTCTGAGAAGAAAACTCGATCAGTTCAATGAGGTATCTACGAGTCAATTGCAAGATGAGAAAAATTTTCCCATGGATATCACGAAAAAAAATTCAATAAGCTAAAACGCTTTACGATGGCACAGATGAATGCACTGTACCTGGCTGGCTAAAATTTATCAGATGCACAAGACTGCGGGGCTATTGTGAATAAATTGGAAAACACGGCTCAAAGTTGTGTGATGGCCACGACGCCTGAGAAATGTAACGCCCCAGACTTTAGTTTTGGCACACAGCTCAACCATTTTAGATCCAGATAAAAACGTTCATTAGGCATTAAAGCGTTTAAATATCAAACACATCTACACAATGAGTCGATTGCCAAGTTGAACTGATCCAGAAAAAATTATGAGGAGGAAACTTTCCTTTTGCTTCAAAATTCATCGAATGATGAGCTGCGGGCAATGCTTGCGAATTTTTCAAAATCTAATTGATCTTTGCCTTAGAAATTCAAAATTTTAAGGAATAGGGATGGAAGAAACCATGACGCGAGGCGACAAATCGTCGCAAGCGACTAGTCGCAGCATTTTTCAAAGGCGACATTTCGCACCAAGCGTCAATTAGCAAGCGACAATTAGCAGCACGATTAATTGCTAATTGGGAGGACTAAAAACGATACGAATTGAGCAAAATGTTTTTGGGTGGTTGAGGGGGCTTAAAATCCGACGAGCGATAAATTTTTTTAATTTAGTGCCAGTTTTGAATTAATTACCTAATTGAAATGAATTAACAGTGAAGATAAGAGTAATTAAGCGGTAGTAGTATCTAAGACATTTTATTTTGATTCAGTCGTTTCAATTTCTTCTTGCAAATCCATACACTTACTGATACCAATAGGCTTTTGAATTTTGTCATGAGCGATCGAAGAAAACAGCAAATTGTCCGCGATGGAGAAACTTTCAATCTAAACCGCCACAACAAAATAACTGATGCATCCAGTTGGCGATGAGTGAAGAGACCGTGTAAAGCTTCTGTTACCACCATCGCAGATGTAGCAATTGAATTGGCCATCCCGTCGATCCCTGAGTGGTATATGATACCAGAAACTCTTATAGATATAAAAGAAACCAAAGAAAAAGTAGTATAGTACCTCAGAAAAAAACAAAAAATATTTAAAAAAAAGCGGAAAAACCAAAAACAGTAAAAAAAATATATAAAATCAGCAGAAATCATTCCCCAGACGAGATGTGATCCGAGCCTCATGTTTGCTGTTGTTAGATATATTGTTGTTGAAGGCATTCATACCAAACCGGATCGTTACGACTAAAAGTGTGGTCTTTGTCTGGTGCCTGTACTGTAGGGTTGTTTGAGTGTTTAAGCACGTGAACGCTATTTTGCGCTCAATCCGGAAGGATCAAGTGATTAGAGTGGAAGAGTGAGCAGGCAAGGAGCAGCATGAAGGGTCTCTAGGACAACACCAATCGACTGTTGGGTATCGTTGACAAGTTTTGTATCATTTTTGATGCAGAAAGTACCATCTCAACCTGCGCGGGCTCGGCAGTGACTGCATTTTAGTGACCCCCCACCGAGTTGCAAATTTCCGAGTTAAGCACCTTAATTTGGAAGTTTTCAGACCAACTTTCAACCAAATAGACAGTAAACAGTCCGGTGTTAGAATCAAATAGTGATATTTTGATCCCTCCACAAACCGCAATTTTTGAGATATGCATGTTTTTTGAATTGGAAAAGTTAGTGAGTTACATTAAAACTGGACCAATATAACCAAAGGAACCGGTTGCAAATAGTTCGGACGTGGTTGAGTTTCATGGCGTACCAAAATCCAATTTTTCGAGTTAGTGTGAAAAGAATTGTTGTTCGGACAACATACAACAACCAATCTACAAGTTTTAGAAACCGTTTGCCAACAACCTTCCTGGCGTCAAAGAAATTGAATTTAACGAAGTTGATTTAGTGGATTCATCAATCCTGAGGGTCCAAGTAGCATGTTTTTAGCCAATTTAATCAACTGAAAAGTTTATGATCGGGTTTTTTGCATTGAACTAGAAAAGTATAGGCCTTCTGAGCTCGGATCAAAACTTTTTAGGTCAATAGTACAAAAACTGTACAAAAAAGCTTAGCCCATAAATTTGTAAATTTTTTGAACTTGGGAACAACTGGACCGATCCAATTCATGTTGGTACCGTTAGACCACGAATTAAGAAGGCTTAAACGTGAGCCAATCGTTTTGAAGAAATTAAACTCAAAATTTTTTTTAGATTGATCACAGCGAAAACACCGGCTTTGAAGGTAGACTCTACACATTTTATAAAGTGTTTAGGAGCTTATATCCCTACAAAACGGTAGCAACGGTTGATTTAGGCATTTTAACGTTGTTCTAGACAATAAGGAAGAATTAGGGAACCTTGAAATCAGTAAGCAAGTCGGAATTAGGCCGGTTAGTAGACTCCTCCCTTTAAAGGAAATTGTTAT